CTCTATGGGGGTTCTATGGGGTGAGGGATCTCAAGGAGCTTCTCTATGGGGGTTCTATGGGGTGAGGGATCTCAAGGAGCTTCTCTATGGGGGTTCTATGGGGTGAGGGACCTCAAGGAGCTTCTCTATGGGGTGAGGGACCTCAAGGAGCTTCTCTATGGGGTGAGGGACCTCAAGGAGCTTCTCTATGGGGTGAGGGACCTCAAGGAGCTTCTCTATGGGGGTTCTATGGGGTGAGGGATCTCAAGGAGCTTCTCTATGGGGGTTCTATGGGGTGAGGGACCTCAAGGAGCTTCTCTATGGGGGTTCTATGGGGTGAGGGACCTCAAGGAGCTTCTCTATGGGGGTTCTATGGGGTGAGGGATCTCAAGGAGCTTCTCTATGGGGGTTCTATGGGGTGAGGGACCTCAAGGAGCTTCTCTATGGGGTGAGGGACCTCAAGGAGCTTCTCTATGGGGGTTCTATGGGGTGAGGGACCTCAAGGAGCTTCTCTATGGGGGTTCTATGGGGTGAGGGATCTCAAGGAGCTTGGGGGTTCTGGGGTGGCTGGATCTGAGGGATGGGGGAGAACACAACAGGGTGAGGGACCTCAAGGAGCTTCTCTATGGGGGTTCTATGGGGTGAGGGACCTCAAGGAGCTTCTCTATGGGGTGAGGGACCTCAAGGAGCTTCTCTATGGGGGTTCTGTGGGGTGAGGGATCTCAAGGAGCTTCTCTCTGGGGGTTCTAGGGACCTCAAGGAGCTTCTCTAGGCTGGGGTGAGGACCTCAAGGAGCTTCTCTATGGGGGTTCTATGGGGTGTGATCTCAAGGAGAACACTATGGGGGTTCTATGGGGTGAGGGACCTCAAGGAGCTTCTCTATGGGGGTTCTATGGGGTGAGGGACCTCAAGGAGCTTCTCTATGGGGGTTCTATGGGGTGATGGATGGAGAACACAACGGGCTGGGGCTGAAGGACCCCAACCACCTTCTCTATGGGGTTTTCTATGGGGTGATGGATGGAGAACACAACAGGCTGGGGCCTGAAGCACCCCAACCACCTTCTCTATGGGGTTTTCTATGGGGCGATGTGCGGGTCCCTCCAGCTCCAATGGATGGAGAACACAACAGGCTGGGCCTGAAGGACCCCAACCACCTTCCCCATGGGGTTTCTATGGGGTGATGGATGGAGAACACAACAGGCTGGGCCTGAAGGACCCCAACCACCTTCTCTATGGGGTGATGGATGGAGAACACAACAGGCTGGGCCTGAAGGACCCCAACCACCTTCTCTATGGGGTTTCTATGGGGTGATGGATGGAGAACACAACGGGCTGGGTCTGAAGGACCTCAACCACCTTCTCTATGGGGTTTCTATGGGGTGATGGATGGAGAACACAACAGGCTGGGTCTGAAGGACCCCAACCACCTTCCCCATGGGTTTTTCTATGGGGTGATGGATGGAGAACACAATGGGCTGGGTCTGAAGGACCCCAACCACCTTCCCCATGGGGTTTCTATGGGGTGATGGATGGAGAACACAACGGGCTGGGTCTGAAGGACCTCAACCACCTTCTCTATGGGGTTTTCTATGGGGTGATGGATGGAGAACACAACAGGCTGGGCCTGAAGGACCCCAACCACCTTCTCTATGGGGTTTTTATGGGGTGATGGATGGAGAACACAACAGGCTGGGCCTGAAGGACCTCAAGGACCTTCTCCATAGGGGTTCTATGGGGTGAGGGACACAACGTGGTGGGCCTGAAGGACCCCAAGCACCTTCTCTATGGAGGTTCTATGGGGTGATGGATGGAGAACACAACAGGCTGGGCCTGAAGGACCCCAACCACCTTCTCTATGGGGTGATGGATGGAGAACACAACAAGCTGAGGCTGAAGGACCCCAACCACCTTCTCTATGGGGTGATGGATGGAGAACACAACGGGATGGGGCTGAAGGACCTCAACCACCTTCCCCATGGGGTTTCTATGGGGCGATGTGCGGGTCCCTCGCCGTCCCTGCCCGCCGTTACCGTTGATGAGATAGGGGTGGTTGCAGCACTTGCGCAGCTCCATCATGGTGTTGAGCAGGTTGGGCATGTTGGTGTGCCCGGCCCCCTTGGCCAGGAAGGAGAAGTTCTTCTCCAGGATGGCTCGGTAGAAGCGTTTCTGCACGTTGGTGAGCTCCACCTCGATGATGGTCTCCTGCTTCGGGGCCAGGTTCTTCTCCACGTCCTCCTTGAGGCGCCGCAGCATCATGGGCTTCAGGATGGCCTGCAGCTTCTGGACCTATGGGGAAGTAATGGGGGGGGGCAATGGGGGAGGTCAGTGGGGTGGGCAATGGGGTGGGCATCGCTATGGGGGAGGCAATGGGGTGGGCATCGTTATGGGGTAAGCAATGGGGTGGGCATCGCTATGGGGTGGGCAATGGGGAGGGCAATGGGGTGGGCATCACTATGGGGTAGGCAATGGGGTGGGCATCGTTATGGGGTAAGCAATGGGGTGGGCATCGCTATGGGTAGGAAATGGGGAGGTCAATGGGGTGGGCATCGCTATGGGGGAGGCAGTGGGGTGGGTGTCGCAATGGGGGAGGCAATGGGGAGGTCAATGGGGTGGGCATCGCTATGGGGGAGGCAGTGGGGTGGGCATTGCTGTGGGGTAGGCAATGGGGAGGTCAATAGGTGGGGATGGGGAGGGAATCGCTATGGGGTAGGCAATGGGGAGGTCAATGGGGTGGGCATCGCTATGGGGTGGGCAATGGGGTGGGCGTCGCTATGGGGGAGGCAATGGGGAGGGCAATGGGGTGGGCGTCGCTATGGGGGAGGCAATGGGGTGGGCATTGTTATGGGGTAAGCAATGGGGTGGGCATCGCTATGGGGGAGGCAATGGGGTGGGCATTGTTATGGGGTAAGCAATGGGGTGGGCATCGCTATGGGGGAGGCAATGGGGAGGGCATCGCTATGGGGTAGGAAATGGGGAGGTCAATGGGGTGGGCATCGCTATGGGGCACCCAATGGGGAGGGATGCAGGGAGAGCATCCCCATGTGGTACCCAACGGGTGATGATGCTGATGGAGGGATGCAGGGAGAGCATCCCCATGTGGTACCCAATGGGTGATGATGCTGATGGGGGGATGCAGGGAGAGCATCCCCATGTGGTACCCAATGGGTGATGATGCTGATGGGGAGGGATGCAGGGAGAGCATCCCCATGTGGTACCCAACGGGTGATGATGCTGATGGAGGGATGCAGGGAGAGCATCCCCATGTGGTACCCAGTGGGTGATGATGCTGATGGAGGGATGCAGGGAGAGCATCCCCATGTGGTACCCAATGGGTGATGATGCTGATGGCCCCTCTCCCCCCCGCCCAGGTACCTGCTCCTCGGTCTTGAGGTCCCCAAAATCCTTGAGGAATTCCGCTTCCGATGGGAACTGGGAGGGCTCCAGGAAGTGCAGGAGGCTGAAGAGCTCCTCCACCGTGTTCTGCAGCGGGGTGCCCGTCAGCAGCACCTTGTGCTCCTATGGGGGGGACACCCACCAAAACCCCATTGAACACCAGCAAAAAACATTAAATACCAGCAAAAACCATTAAATACCAAAAAAAAACATTAAATACCAGCAAAAACCATTAAATCCCACCAAAAACACATTAAATACCATCAAAACCTCTTTATCCCCCCCAAATCCCCTTCATCCCCCCCACACCCCCTTTAATCCCCCCAAATCCCCTTCATCCCCCCACACCCCCTTTATCCCCCCCAAACCCCCCTTTATCCCCCCCAAACCCCCTTTATCCCCTTTTATCCCCCCCAAACCCCCTTTATCCCCCCCCACACCCCCTTTATCCCCCCCAAACCCGCTTTATCCCCCCCCAGACCCCCTTTATCCCCCTTTCTACCCCCCTAGACCCCTTTATACCCCCCAAACCCCCTTTACCCCCCTTTATCCCCCCCCAAACCCCCTTTATCCCTCTTTCCTCCCCCCCAGACCCCCTTTATCCCCCTTTCTCCCCCCCAAACCCCCTTTATCCCTCTTTCCTCCCCCCCAGACCCCCTTTATCCCCCTTTCTCCCCCCCCAGACCCCCTTTATCCCTCTTTCCTCCCCCCCAGACCCCCTTTATCCCCCTTTCTCCCCCCCCAAACCCCCTTTATCCCTTTTTCTCCCCCCCCAGACCCCCTTTATCCCTCTTTCCTCCCCCCAAACCCCCTTTATCCCCCTTTATCCCTCTTTCCTCCCCCCCAAACCCCCTTTATCCCCCTTTCTCCCCCCCCAGACCCCCTTTATCCCTCTTTCCTCCCCCCCAAACCCCCTTTATCCCCCCCCAAACCCCCTTTATCCCTCTTTTCCCCCCCCCAGCCCCCCGGGGTGCTCCCCCACCAGGTCCATGTGCTTGAGGCTGTCGAGCAGCTTGCAGTTGCGGTTCTTGAGGCGATGGGCCTCGTCGATGACCACGCAGCGCCACTCGATCTCGCGCAGCTCCGGGCACTCCGACAGGATCATCTCGAACGTCGTGATGAGCGCGTCGAACTTGTAGGCCCCGGGGATCAAACGGCCCTAAAGGGGGGCAATGGGGGGCAATGGGGGTCAATGGGGGTCAATGTGAGTCAATGGGAGTCAATGGGGATCAATGGGAGTCAATGGGGTCAACAGTGGTCAATGGGAGTCAATGGTGGTCAATAGGAGTCAATGGGGGTCAATGGGAATCAATGGGGGTCAATGGGGTCAATGGGGGTCAATGAGAGTGAATGGGAGTCAATAGGGTCAATGGGGTCAACAGTGGTCAATAGGAGTCAATAGGGGTCAATGAAAGTGAATGGGAGTCAATGGGGGCAATGGGGGTCAATGGGAGTCAATGGGGTCAATGGGGGGCAATGGGGGTCAGTGGGAGTCGATGGGGGCAATGGGGAGCAATGGGAGTCAATGGGGTCAATGGGGATCAATGGGAGTCAATGGGGGCCAATGGGGGGCATTGGGGTCAACAGTGGTCAATAGGAGTCAATAGGGGTCAATGAAAGTGAATGGGAGTCAATGGGGGGCAATGGGGGTCAATGGGAGTCAATGGGGGGCAATGGGGGTCAAGGAGAGTTGATGGGGTCAATGGGGGGCAATGGGGGTCAATGGGAGTCGATGGAGTCAATGGGGGGCAATGAGGTCAAGTGGAGTCAATGGGGTCAATGGGGGTCAATGGGGATCAATGGGGGTCAATGTGGGTCAATGTGGGTCAAGGGGAGTCAATGGGGTCAATGGGAGTCAATGGGGTCAATGGGGGGCAATGGGGGTCAAGGAGAGTCGATGGGGTCAATGGGAGTCAATGGGGGTCAATGGGAGTCAATGGAGTCAATGGGGGACAATGAGGTCAAGTGGAGACAATGGGGTCAATGGGGGTCAATGGGAGTCACTGGGAGTCAATGGGGTCAATGGGAGCCAATGGTGGTCAACGGCAGTCAATGGTGGTCAATGGGAGCCAACGGGAATCAACGCGGTTCAATGGGGTGGAGATACGGAGGCGGGATGGCGCCGTGGGGCTGGGATAGGGGTCGCGACGACGCCGTGGGGCTGGAATAGGGGTCGCCGTGGGCCCCCCCCCCCCCCCCCAGCCCCAGCCCCATACCCTGCTGTCCTTGCAGTACATCTCGTACTGCTGGATCATCTGGCGCGAGGCGAGGCTGCCGTGGTAGACGATGGTGTTCATCTCGGTCCAGGTGTTGAACTCCCTCTCCCAGTTGGTGATGGTGGAGAGGGGGGCGATGACGAGGAAGGGCCCCCGGATGCCCCCCTTGTAGACCTCCTGCAGGAAGGCGATGGACTGGATCGTCTTGCCCAGGCCCATCTCGTCGGCCAGGATGCAGTTCTGCCTGCGGGGGGGGGAGGAAGGGGAGACCATGGGACCCATCGTCATCATCACCATTGGACGTGGTACCCATCGTCATCGTCATCGTCATCGTCGTCATTGTCACCATTGGACGTGGTACCCATCGTCATCATCGTCATCGTCATCATCACCGTTGGACGTGGTACCCATCGTCATCATTGTCATCGTCACCACTGGACGTGGTACCCATCGTCATCGTCATCGTCACCATTGGACGTGGTACCCATCGTCATCGTCATCATCGTCATCATCACCGTTGGACGTGGTACCCATCGTCATCGTCACCATTGGATGTGGTACTCATTGTCATCGTTACCATTGGACGTGGTACCCATCGTCATCGTCATCATCACCATGGGAGGTGGTACCCATCATCATCATCATCACCATCCCCATTGGAGGTGATGCCCATCATCATCGTCATCACCATCACCATCATCCCCATTGGAGGTGGTACCCATCATCATCGTCATCACCATCATCCCCATTGGAGGTGGTACCCATCATCATCGTCATCACCACCATCACCATTAGAGGTGGTACCCATCACCACCATCATCATCATCACCATCCCCATTGGAGATGATACCCATCATCATCGTCCTCACCATCATCATCGTCATCATGATCACCACCATCACCATTGGAGGTGGTACCCATCACCATCATCACCATCATCATCGTCACCACCATCCCCATTGGAACTGGCACCCAACATCATCCCCCCCACCCCCATCCCCATGGCCACCCCCCACCTCCACCCCCATGGGGAGCCCCCCCCTTACCGGTTGTACCAGTTGAAGAGCAGCCAGTTGACCCCTTCCAGTTGGTACTCCCGCAGTTGGTTGTGGTTCTTGTACTCGTGCCGCAGCTCCAGCTTCTGCCACGACCCGGCCTGGGGGCGGGGCTGCGACGGGGAACAAGGGGACACGTGACCCCAAGGCCCCATAGACCCCTTCAGACACAGCCCCATTGACGTACATTGACCCCAAACCCCCTTTAGATGCCACCAAAACCCCGTAAGGATCATCCCCATTGACTTCCATTGACCCCAAACACCGCCGAGACCCATCCCCATTGACTTCCATTGACCCCCAACACCACCAAGACCCCACAGACCCCTCCAATACCCATCCCCATTGACTTCAATTGACCCCCAACACCACCAAGACCCCATAGACCCCTTCAGACCCATCCCCATTGACTTCCATTGACCCCAAAGCCCCTTTAGACACCACCAAGACCCCATAGACCCCTTCAGACCCAGCCCCATTGACTTCCATCAACCCCAAACCCCCTTTAGACACCACCAAGACCCCATAGACCCCTTCAGACCCATCCCCATTGACTTCCATCGACCCCAAACCCCCTTCAGACCCATCCCCATTGACTTCCATCGACCCCAAACCCCCTTTAGACACCACCAAGACCCCATAGACCCCTTCATACCCATCCCCATTGACTTCCATCGACCCCAAACCCCCTTTAGACACCACCAAGACCCCATAGACCACTTCATACCCATCCCCATTGACTTCCATCCACCCCAAACCCCAGACCCATCCTCATTGACTTCCATCGACCCCAAACCCCCTTTAGACACCCTGAGCCCCCCCCAGCCCCCTCCGGAAGCACCTTACGAGCCCCACGGGCGCTCCCATCGGCCGCTATGGGGCAGGAATTGACTCCCCCCCCAGCTCACCAAGCGTTTGAGCTCCGGGTTGCGGGCCTGGATGCGCTTGAACTCCCCAATCTTGGCTTCGTCCACGTCCTCCTGCAGCTCCCACGTGCTGTCCTCGTAGGGCAGGGAGCACCACTTGACCAGGTAATAGACCACGGGCTGGAAGGGAAGGGCGCCGTGGGCACGGGCCCCATGGCCCGGGCTCGGGGTCCCTGCCCCACGGGAGCCTCTCGCCCCTCCAGCACCTCCCCGTTGTCCTTGTCCACGCTGTGGGACTCGTCCAGGATGCGGTCGACCTCCACGTAGTCGGGGTTGAAGGGCTCTTCGTCCTGCGGGGACCAGGAGGGGACACAGTGGGTCATAACGGGCCATAACGGGCCATACTGGCCCATACTGGATCATACTGGGCCATACTGGATCATACTGGGCCATAAAGGACCACAAGGGACCATAATGGCCCACAAAGCACCATTAAACGACCATAATAGACCATAAAGTACCATTAAAGGACCCCAAAAGACCATATAGGGCCATAAGGGACCATGAAGAACCATTAAAGGGCCCCAAAGGACCATATAGGACCATAATAGACCATAAAGGACCATTAAAGGACCCCAAAAGACCATATAGGGCCATAAGGCACCATGAAGAACCATTAAAGGGCCCCAAAGGACCATATAGGACCGTAATAGATCATAAAGGACCATTAAAGGACCCCAAAAGACCATATAGGACCATAATGGACCATGAAGAACCATTAAAGGGCCATAAAGGACCACAAAGCCCCATTGAAGGACCCCAAAGGACCATATACGACCATAATAGATCATAAAGGACCATTAAAGGACCCCAAAGGACCATATACGACCGTAATAGACCATGAAGAACCATTAAAGGGCCATAAAGGACCACAATGACCCATAAAGCCCCATTAAAGGACCACAAAGGACCATATAGGACCCCAAAGCCCCATTAAAGGACCACAAAGCCCCATTGAAGGACCCCAAAGGACCATATAGAACCATAACAGACCACAAAGAACCATTAAAGGACCATAAAGGACCACAACGACCCACAAAGCCCCATTAAAGAACCCCAAAGCCCCATTAAAGGAACCCTAAGCCCCATTAAAGGACCCCAAAGCCCCACTGAAGGACCACAAAGCCCCACTGAAGGACCCCAAAGCCCCATTAAAGGACCCCAAAGCCCCATTAAAGGACCACAAAGCCCCATTAAAGGACCCCAAAGCCCCATTAAAGGACCCCAAAGCCCCACTGAAGGACCCCAAAGCCCCATTGAAGGGCCCCAAAGCCCCATTAAAGGACCCCAAAGCCCCACTGAAGGACCCCAAAGCCCCACTGAAGGACCCCAAAGCCCCATTAAAGGAGCCCAAAGCCCCATTAAAGGACCCCAAAGGCCCAGTGAAGGGCCCCAAAGCCCCATTAAAGAACCCCAAAGCCCCATTAAAGGACCCCAAAGCCCCACTGAAGGCCCCCAAAGCCCCACTGGAGGAGCACAACAGCCCCTATAGACCCCATAGGCCCCCTATAGGACCCCATAGAGACCTCCTGGAAGAAGTGCCTCATCTGGCTCATCTTGGTCTTGAAGCGCTTGAGCTTCTGGTGGATCCTCTTGTCCTTCTCCAGCTGGGCAATGGTGGCCCACTCACAGTGCAGGTAGGAGCTGGGGGGCACAGGGCAGGCTAAGAGCAGCGCCCCGATTGGCTGCCGCCACCGCCGCCGCCACCCCATTGGGCACTCACTAGTTCTTGTACTTGACGAAGAACTCCTCCGACTCCACCAGCTGGCCCGAGGGAAGCTATGGGGAAAGGGGGGGCATCAGGGCAAGGCAGGAGAGCCGGCCCCAAGCCAGCCCCATTGACCCCAAACCCCCTCTAGATGCCACCAAGCCCCCATAAGGATCATCCCCATTGCCTTCCATTGACCCCAAACCCCCTTTAGATGCCACCAAAACCCCATAGACCCCTTCAGACCCATCCCCATTGACTTCCATTGACACCCAACACCACCAAGACCCCATAGACCCCTTCAGACCCATCCCCATTGACCCCAAACCCCCTTTAGGGCCCCCCTCACCTCTTTCTTGACCACCCTCATAGACAACACCTTGTCCACAATGGCTGCGTCCTCCTCACTGGGGTTCTCCTATAGGAGACACAAGACAAGGCCCAATGGGTGCCCATGGATGACCCAATGGGTGCCCATGGGCCAATGGGTGCCCATGGATGACCCGATCAATGACCATGACCCACTGGAAGACCCAACCCAATGGATGCCCAAGGATGACCATGCTCCAATGGCTGCCCACAGTTGACCACGACCCAATGGGTGGCCATGGATGACGACGACCCAATGGATGCCCATGGATGACCCAACCAATGACCATAACCCAAGGGGAGACCCAACCCAATGGCTGCCCATAGATGACGACGACCCAATGGATGCCCATGGATGACCCAACGGGAAACCCAACCCAATGGATGCCCATGGATGACGACGACCCAATGGATGCCCATGGATGACCCAATCAATGACCATGACCCAAGGGGAGACCCAACCCAATGGCTGCCCATGGATGACGACGACCCAATGGCTGCCCATGGATGACCCAACCAATGGCCATGACCCAACGGGAGACCCAACCCAATGGATGCCCATGGATGACGACGACCCAATGGCTGCCCATGGATGACCCAACCAATGACCATGACCCAATGGGAGACCCAACCCAATGGACGCCCATAGATGCCCCAATGGATGCCCTCGCTTGACCACGCCCCAACGGGCCCCATCCCTGGAGCTGCCCCCACCACAAAGAACTGCATGGAGGGCAGGGCGTCGCCGTCGGGCTCCGGGGGGGGCGGCGCCGGGGGCTGCTCGGGACGTGTGGGGCCGGTGACGTCGAGCTCCTCGTCCTCCTCGTCGTCGGTGATCTTGATGTCCAGGTCCTCCGTGTACTTCTTGCGCTTCACCTGCCGGTTGGAGCGGCGCTTCTGGGGGGGCAGAGCACAGGGGGGTCAGGGCACTGGGGATGTGGGGCTGGAGGGGGGGGGTGGACGTGGTTATGGGGCTGGGATGGGTCTAGAGATGGAAACTGAGGTGGTTGTGGGGCTGGAGATGGGGTATGGAGATGGGCATGGGGCTGGAAACGGGTTTAGAGCTGGGGTGGATGTGGTTATGGGGCTGGAGATGGGTTTGGAAATGGTTATGGGGCTGGAGATGGATTCTGGAAATGGTTATGGGGCTGGAAATGGGTCTAGACGTATGAATAAACGTGGTTATGGGGCTGGAAATGGGTTCTGGAGATGGATGTGGAGCTGGAAATGGGTCTAGAGGTGGGGATGGAATTGGGGATGGGGCTGGACATGGGTTCTGGAAATGGTTATGGGGCTGGAAACAGGGTCTGGAGATGGAGCTAGAGATGGATGTGGGGCTGGAGATGGGTTCTGGACGTGGATGTGGGGCTGGAGATGGGGTCTGGAGGTGGATGTGGGGCTGGAGATGGGGTCTGGAAGTGGATGTGGGGCTGGAGATGGGGTCTGGAGGTGGATGTGGGGCTGGAGATGGGTTCTGGAGGTGGATGTGGGGCTGGAGATGGGGTCTGGAGGTGGATGCGGGGCTGGAGATGGGGTCTGGAGGTGGATGCGGGGCTGGAGATGGGGTCTGGAGGTGGATGTGGGGCTGGAGATGGGGTCTGGAGGTGGATGTGGGGCTGGAGATGGGTTCTGGAGATGGATGTGGGGCTGGAGATGGGGTCTGGAGGTAGATGCGGGGCTGGAGATGGGGTCTGGAGGTGGATGTGGGGCTGGAGATGGGGTCTGGAGGTGGATGCGGGGCTGGAGATGGATCCAGGCTGCATGGATGGCCCCATAGGTGCCTATGGGGGTGCCGGTGGTGCCGCTGCCCCACACCTGGACACTGGGCTCCTCCTCCTGGCGCGGGGAGGGCGCGGGCAGGACCTCGGCGTCGGAGGTGTCCGAGGACGCGTTCCGCTTCCGCTTCTTCCCCACCACCGGCGTGATGGTGCTGAGGGGACAACAGGGACACAGCGGGGTCAGGGGGGCTATGGGGCACAATGGGGGGCAAGGGGGACACAAGGGGGGCAATGGGGACAATGGGGACACAATAGAGGTCACTGGGGCTATGGGGACACAATGGGGTCAATAGGCACACAATGGGGTCAATGGGCACACAATGGGGTCAACAGCCTCAATGGAGCTCAATGGGGTCAACGGGCACACAAGGGACTCAATGGAACTCAATGGGGTCAACGGGCACACAAGGGACTCGATGGAGCTCAATGTGGTCAACGGGCACACAAGGGACTCAATGGAGCTCAATGGGGTCAACGGGCACTCAAGGGACTCGATGGAGCTCAATGGGGTCAACGGGCACACAAGGGACTCGATGGAGCTCAATGCGGTCAACGGGCACACAAGGGACTCAATGGAACTCAATGGGGTCAACGGGCACACAAGGGACTCGATGGAGCTCAATGGGGTCAACGGGCACACAAGGGACTCAATGGAGCTCAATGGGGTCAACGGGCACACAAGGGACTCAATGGAGCTCAATGGGGTCAACGGGCACACAAGGGACTCAATGGAACTCAATGGGGTCAACAGGCACACGAGGGACTCGATGGAGCTCAATGGGGTCAACGGGCACACAAGGGACTCGATGGAGCTCAATGGGGTCAACGGGCACACAAGGGACTCGATGGAGCTCAATGGGGTCAACGGGCACACAAGGGACTCAATGGAACTCAATGGGGTCAACGGGCACACAAGGGACTCGATGGAACTCAATGGGCTCAACGGGCACCCAATGGAGCTCAACACCTCCAAGAGAGCCCCACGCCCTCAACGCCCCCCAACTCACCCAACACCCCCCCCCCATCCCTCACCTGGGTTTGCTCCTGCCTTTACTCCTGGCCCCGCTTTGCCCTTTGCCCTTCCTGCTCCTCTCGTCCTTGGCGCCGCCGGCGGCGCGGTCCCCTTTGCGGCGCCGCTTGCGCTCGGCGTCGTCGTCGGGCCGCACGTGGGGCAGCTCGTCCTCGTTGAGCACGCGGGGGATGTTCTGCTCGCCGCGGGCCCGGGCGCGGGCGATGGCCTCGGCCACGATGCGGTTGGCTTTCTCCTGCTTCTTCTGGTGCTCCAGCTTGCGGCTCTCCTCGGTGGCGCCGCGCGGCGCCGCGGCGCTGCCGCCGCCCGGGGGGCACGAGAGCTCCGGGGTGCTCAGCACCTTCACCACGGAGAGGCCGGAGGAGGCGCCCGGGGAGGCGGTGGTCTGGAAGGGAAAGGGAGGCAACGGGGTTACGGTTGATGCGGTCGGGGTTGAGTCAATGGGGGCGTGGTTGAGTCAATGGGGCTAGGGTTGACTCAATAGGGGCATGGTTGAGTCAATGGGGGCGTGGTTGAGTCAATGGGGACATGGTTGAGCCAATGGGGTTACGGTTGACTCAATAGGAACATGGTTGAGTCAATGCGGACATGGTTGTGTCAATGGAGACATGGTTGAATCAACAAGGTTAGAGTAAAGTCAATGGGGTCATGGTTGAGCCAATGGGGGCATGGTTGTGTCAATGGGGGCATGGTTGAGTCAACAAGGCTAGAGTAGAGTCAATGGGGGCATGGTTGAGTCAATGGGACTAGGGTTGACTCAATGGGGGCATGATTGAGTCAATGGGGGGCATGGTTGAGTCAATGGAATTATGGTTAATTAAACAGAAGCATGACCGATCAATGAGGCTAGGATTGAGTCAATGAGATTAAGGTTGAGTCAATGGGGGCATGGTTGAGTCAATGGGGGCATGGTTGAGTCAATGGGGTCGTGGTTGAGTCAATGGGGTCGTGGTTGAGTCAATGGGGTCGTGGTTGAGTCAATGGGGTCGTGGTTGAACCCAACAGAACCAACACAAGTCCCAAAACCAACCCCAACGGGACCAAAACTGGCCCCAATGGGACCAAGAGCGGACCCCAAATGACCAAAACTCAACCCAACAGAACCAACACGAGGCCTGAAACCAACCCCAACGCCAACGCTGGGCCCCAAAGCCCCCCGAACTGGACCCAAACCCGCGCCCACCTGCGGCTGCAGCACCACCTTGAGGGGCACCGTCACCCTCTGCCCGCCGCCGGCCACCACCTGCGGCACCGAGGACACGGTGACGGGCGCCCCTTGCCCGCCGGGGGGCGCCGCCTGCAGCACCTGGATCTTCTGTGGGGCGCCCCCTTGGTGGGCGCCGGCGGGGTGCTGCACCTGGAGCTGGATGGTGACCACCTTGGTGGTGGTGGCGGCGGCGGTTGGGGGGCCGGCGGCCCCCTTGGCCGGCCCCACGGCGCTCACTTGGCTGCCCTGCAGGACCAGTTTGCCGGGCAGGGTGCCCAGCACCACGTGGCGGTGGCCGGCGGGCACCGCGGCGCCGGGGGGCTGCTGCAGGACCAGGGTGATGCGCTTGGATTCGGCCTATGGGGCGGAGGGGAGGAGAAAGGGAAAGTTATGGGGGGGGGAGTTGCATTGGAGACCCCGAAAAGCAACCACGGGGAACCCATAACCCGGCCCTATAGGGGCTCTTGATCTGGGAGACCCCATAAGCCAACCCTATAGGGGTTCTTGAGCTTGGAGACCCCATAACCCAACCCTATAGGGGTTCTTGAGCTTGGAGACCCCATAACCCAACCCTATAGGGGTTCTTGAGCTTGGAGACCCCATAACCCAACTCTATAGGGGCTCTTGAGCTTGGAGACCCCGTAACCCAACCCTATAGGGGTTCTTGAGCTTGGAGACCCCATAACCCAACCCTATAGGGGTTCTTGAGCTTGGAGACCCCGTAACCCAACCCTATAGGAGTTCTTGAGCTTGGAGACCCCGTAACCCAACCCTATAGGGGTTCTTGAGCTGGGAGACCCCATAACCCAACCCTATAGGGGTTCTTGAGCTTGGAGACCCCATAACCCAACCCTATAGGGGTTCTTGAACTTGGAGACCCCATAACCCATCATTGGGCACCCCATAACCCAACCCTACGGATCCTCTTCACCTTGGGAACCCCATAACCCCCCCCTGGAGACCCCATAACCCAACCCTATGGATCCTCTTCACCTTGGAGACCCCATAACTCATCATTGGGCACCCCATAACCCAACCCTATGGATGCTCTTCACCTTGGAGACCCCATAACCCATCATTGGGCACCCCATAACCCAACCCTATGGGTGCTCTTCACCTTAGGAACCCCATAACCCATCATTGGGCACCCCATAACCCAACCCTACGGATCCACTTCACTTTGGGAACCCCATAACCCAACCCTACGGGTGCTCTTCACCTTGGAGACCCCATAACCCAACCATAGGGACCCCATAACCCAATATCGAGACCCCATAACCCACCCCTATAGACCCCACATCGCCCCCCACCCCCCACGCTAGTACCCCTCACCTGATTGGCCGCTGGCGCCGCTGTGGCTCCTCCCCCTTTGCCGCCGCTCACCCCGGCCTTGACGGGCTGCAGCACCAATTGCTTGACGGGCCGGGCGGCCTGGACCAATCGGTGCACGGCGGTGGGGGGCGTGGCCACCGAGGCCCCGCCCCCGGGCCCCGCCCCCACCACGGAGACCCCGGCTCTCAATGGGGCAGCCCCAGCCAGGACCTTGGCCAGGGTCACCTTGGCCCCGCCATTGGTGGAGGAAGGGGCGGGGCTGCTGACGTCAGGGGCGGGGCCGGTGACGTCGGCGGCCACGTGGGGCTTCAGGAGGAGGAGCTTAGGGGGGTTGGGGCAAGATGGCGGCGGAGGAGGCGGGGCCGCCCCCGTGGCGCCCATGAAGGGGTTGAGCTGGCCAATCAGCTCCTGCTCCGGGGGGTCGGGGGGCGGGGCTAAGGGGTCCTCGTTGGGTTGGCCAATGGGAGGAGGGGGCGTGGTCAGGGCGTCGTCCGCCATTGGCTGGGGAGGGGGCGGCGGGGCGGGGCCGAAGGCGTCGTCGGCCAATGGGTCGAGGGCGAAGAGGTTGGGGTCGTCGAAGAGGTCCATGATGGGGTCGGCCATGTTGGAGGCGGCGGCCAATGGGAGCGCAGGGGCGGGGCTTGAGGCTGCGGAGAGAGAGGGGATTGGTCAGAGAGGGGCGGGAGGGAGCCAATGGGGGGCAAGCGGGGGGGGGGGGCAATGGGGGGACCGGTAATGGGGTAACGGGGGGCAATGGGAGCCCAGTTATGGGGCAATCAGGGGGCAATGGGAGCCCAGTTATGGGGCAATCAGGGGGCAATGGGAGCCCAGTTATGGGGCAATCAGGGGGCAATGGGAGCCCAGTTATGGGGCAATGGGGTCACCAGGAGCCCAGTTATGGGGCAATGGGGTCACCGGGAGCCCAGTTATGGGGCAGTGGGGTCACCAGGAGCCCAGTTATGGGGCAATGGGGTCACCGGGAGCCCAGTTATGGGGCAATGGGATCACCAGGAGCCCAGTTATGGGGCAATGGGGTCACCAGGAGCCCAGTTATGGGGCAATGGGGGGCAATGGGATCACCGGGAGCCCAGTTATGGGGCAATGGGGGGCAATGGGGTCACCGGGAGCGCAGTTATGGGGCAGTGTGATCACTGGGAGCCTAGTTTTGGGGCAATGGGATCACCAGGAGCCCACTTATGGGGCAACGGGGGGCAATGAGAGCCCAGTTATGGGCAATGGGGTCAGTGGGAACCTAGTTATGGGGCAATGGGGGGCAATGGGACCCCATTAACAGCGAATGGGGCTCCCAGTAACAGGCTACTGGGGGCCCCATTAAGGGATTACAGGGGTCAGTGGGACCCCATTAAGTGGGTACTGGGGTTAATGGGACCCTATTAACGGGGTACTGGGGTTAATGGGACCCCCATTAAGGGGGCACTGGGGCTAATGGAACCCCGTTAGTAGTTAATGGGACCCCATTAATGGAGCACTAGGGCCAATGGGCCCCCCTTAAGGGGGCACTGGGGTTATGGGGACCCCATTACCGGGGCACTGCTGTTAATGGGGTTCCCATTAACGGGGTACTGGGGCTAATGGGACCCCATTAATGGAGCACTGGGGTTACTGGGCCCCCCATTAGAAATTAATGGGCCCCCTATTAATAGGATACTGGGACCCCCATTAACGGGGTACTGGGGTTTATGGGACCCCCATTAATGGGGCACTGGGGTTAATGGGACCCCATAAGGAGTTAATGAGTCCCCTATTAATAATGGGGTACTGGGATCAATGGGACCCCCATTAGGAGTTAATGGGTCCCCTATTAAAAGGGTACTGGGACCCCCATTAATGGGGTATTGGGGTTAATGGAACCCCATTAATGAGGCACTGTTGTTGATGGGGTTCCCCTTAGGAATTAATGGGACCCCTATTAATAGGGTACTGGGACCCCCATTAATGGGGTATTGGGGTTAATGGAACCCCATTAATGGGGCACTGTTGTTGATGGGGTTCCCCTTAGGAATTAATGGGACCCCTATCAATAGGGTACTGGGACCCCCATTAATGGGTACTGGGGTCAATGGGACCCTATTAATGGGGCACTAGGGTTAATGGGACCCCAATGGGAGTTAATGGAACCCACATTAATGGGGTACTGGGGCTAATGGGACCCTATTAAGAGGATATTGGGGCTAATGAAACCCCCAATAGTAATGGGACCCCATTAATGAAGCACTGGGGTTAATGGGACCCCAATAGGAGTTAATGGGACCC